CGAAAACAATGTGATCTACAGTAATGAAGTTTATAAAACTTACAGAAAATTTTATTGTACATCTGTGGCTTGCACTCTGATTTATCCCAGAGCACCAGTACCACAAGTTCAATTCAAATTAGATAATTAAAATGCATTGTTTTCAACATTAAACTAATCTTGTCTGTGGATTACCTCAGAGAATCTATGTACCAAATTGCAATGGAATGTGATGATTATGCAAATTAGGTAATTAGTATGCTTGAATTTCAATCCATAACTAACATTGTCCCAAGGCTCTTGTATACCAATTGAGTGAAAAAGTAATGTTCATTTAGGTTTAATCCCACAAAGTAACCATTGTGCTTCTTTCCTCCATGTATTGTATATTGAAATGTTATTTAATTTGGTTAATTATTATGCAAATTAACATTCATGAATTTCAACCAAAAACTCGCAAAATCTATGCATTGTCCAAGAGCACATATGTACCAGCTGTTCTTGAGATATCCATGAAACAGAGATATACAAGGAGATGGGGTAACTGCAAACACTCCCCTTGTATTCTTAGCAAATCTAAGTCAAAAACTAATTTGCAGTAAATTATCATCGAAAACATAATCTGCATGGAGTGAAATTGTCTCTAGAACTACTAAATAACAAATTCCAGCTCCTGTTAAAACTAATTATACATCTGTCGCCATAAGTTACAGCATGTCGTAATTTTGCGGTATTTTACTGGGTATTTTCATCTTACCATATTAGAAAATGCAAATTCCAAATATGGAATGATTACACGCTTAAGTGTCCTCTAATAATAAAAACAAACATGGCTATCACGAGAGTTTGACCGGACTCCACACAAAGAATTTCGCTGATTCTGTTCTACATATTTTTATTTCGGCATTCCCAGTGTATCCTTGGAAGGAAAAGATGTATAATAATAAGGTTATTACGAGGATATCGTAAAGTATGCACTCAGAAAGTACGCCACGCACTGATACTTCAGCTATACTGTCTTTGTGCATACTTCAAGGTATCCTCGTAATACCCTCACAATATACCCATGTCAAAGTTTCCTCTTTGTGAGACATCCGCACACAAGACAAATGTCACGCAATAACATTAAAGAAAAGACTTTTGGTAAAAGCTTTGTTTATTTCTCAGCACATTCATAACCTCCCATCAACATGCTTACACTGAACAATACAAATTAAAAGATATCTGTAACATTTGCAAGAAAGAAAATGGTACAAAAATGGAAACATTAATTACCACAATGTCTGAGCTTTATAAGCAAATATGCATATCACTCGCATACACACTAATGTAAAGAAGATAAAACTAACTTTGAAACGAGGAAAATAACTAATTCATATGTACAAATAAATGAATACAAACAAGAATCAACTCTTCATATGGAAATATCAATATCCAGAGCTTCTAAGTAAGCAGTGCTGGAGGAAGACAACTGTCCTGTATTGCTTAACTATGTACATTTCAACAGCAACACAATAATTATAATACAAACTCCAATAAGTACATGACAACATAATTGTTAAAACAATATAGAAAACAATTCATGGGTTGACAAGCACTAGATTTATGCAAAAATGCACCACCGCACATACAGTGAGAAGGTAAAATACGAATATCAATAGACCCGGTAATACACAGCACTATTGTATACAGACATCTTGATAAATATAAGGTAGCTGCTATTGCTTGTTTTTAGGCTAATAATTCTCGAAAAATTAACATTGTAATTACATGTGCATTGAAATGTATTCATCTTGAACTATACTGCGATAAAAATGTAAAACCAATGGAAACACTAGATATGTGCGAGTATTGCATTTATAATGTTTATATCACACCCTGAGCTATACAGCTTAGGGACATTGCACTGAATAGTGTAACACAAAAAATAATATTAAATTGGGTACCCCCCTTTCCTTCCCATGCTGAATAACATCATGGCAAATATTCCACACACCTGTCCTTTGATATTACGAGTTGTGATCCTTCAATGCAGCATCTTACAAATCAAATACAGCACAAATTAAGCAGTTTTGTTGTACACCTCCAAAAGTTTGTTTTTTTTGTACAGCCATGTACAAGACATTAAAGTAATAGCCACATACTGGGTCAAACTGCACGTTAAGAGGGTCGCCTACTATATAACCATGCAGAGCACAAAATATAATAACAGTTTAAACTGTTCACAATACAAAATATACCTGGATCTATTTAAAATTGGAATGTAACTATTAAGAACTACACATCTCAATGTATATGGTTGTTTAAAAACACTAATCTATAGTCTATCGTAAGCGGACATGCTTAGTGAGGTTTGTTACAAACACAGCATATATTAAAGTGAGCTTTCCCAATGATACGTACTTGAGATAAAACTATTACTGTAGAATACTTTATTTTCGCTTGAATTTATTTTCGCTGGAGAGATGATTCCGTGAAAATAAACTCCAGCGAATATACTTTTTTTCCTAAATTTCACATTAAACTCATCAAAAATCAGTGAAAATAAATTCCATACAAAACGCCCAAAAAACCTTTTCAGCGAAAATTAATTCCAGCGAAAATAAAGTATTCCACAGTATGTGACCTGGACTGAAGTCATTGGCAATATAATTGACAATAAAAAACAATGTTGCTCCACCAGTTATTCGCTATACCTTGTGAATATACATGTTGGGTTCTGGTGAACAATGAATATTTGTTGAAAACACAATATTTACACTGCAGTAGCTCTGAAATTGAGCTTCTTGTGAGCTGTACTTGAAGATTACTGTCCATATTGACTGATACAGTTAAAAATTCCTTTATTCTTGTAGTGACTAAAATATGTCAGACAAGTATACAAACTATCCATGGGAACTACAAAAATCGTTTGCTGACTTGCTATAATGTAGGAAATCTAAATCAAGCGCATACAAATACAGCCATTAAAATCTCTGAAAGAACATACTGAATAGTAAATTGTCGATCACTATGAGATCTCACAAGATATGCCTACTTCAAATTTTATCCTATCACATTAACAAATAACCCCCCAAAATACTATCATGTTTGTTGAATCACAAG